GTCTAGGTCATTACAAATATAATTCTGAAAGTAGATCATAGTTCCAATTTAGCTACATAAATTCCATATGAAAAAGAAATGTTGGGCACTTCATCTATATCTACATTATGTTGTAGCACATTTCAACTTGTATTATGTTTTAATGTAATATATCTTTTTTATTTGTCTGTTTATTTGTTTATTATCTGTTTTCCCTACTCTAGTGGTAAGGTCCATTAGAAGAGAATCTTTGTAGGTTTTATCCATTGCTCTCTCTTCAGAGTCTAGAACTGGAAATAGTATGTGCTCAGTGAACAAATTTTTTTTTTTCCTTTTTGTCTTTTTTACTGACTGGTAATGGGATCGCAACCCTCGGTGTTGCGTCCGCACCACGCTCAGCCAGTGAGCGGGAACTGGTCTCCATATGGGATCCAAACCCTCAGCGGGAGCGCTGCGCTCCCAAGTGGCGCACTCTCCAGTGCACCACTGGGCCGGCCCAGTGAACAGTTTTTTACACATATCATATCTCTTTTTGCTAGGCTACAAATCCTTGATGACAGATTGAGTCTTGCCCATCTCTAACATTTGTTTGTCTGTGGAAGACCGTCAATTAATAATGGTTGAATGATTTAGTAAATGAATAAAACTTGTCAACATTCAAGTTAATGTCATTTAGTATTAAAGCTGAAATAATGCTTGAATGTTTAGCAGGGAGAGAATGAGGCAAGGTCCAGATCCTGAAAGGGAAGGGAGGATGTTTGGTTTTTGAAGATTCCTTCCTGGCTGTAGCCAGCAGTCACAAAATCCCCTCTGGTACTTTGTATAGAAACACTGACACTGATTCCAGACAGTGTATTGTTGCATGATGGAGGTCAGGGACTGGAAGTTAGAATTCACAGTCTTTTCTTGGCTCCACTATGCTGTCTTTGCACAGAGTGACCTTGGAGAATCGCAGCCTCTTTATGCTACTCTGTCCCTATGGAGATGAGAGAGCTGACGAGAAGAGGTTCCTTCCCCCTTCCCACATTAGTGTTTGTTTTTAGCCTTATGAATTTGCCAGAGTGCTCAGAAACCAAGGTGACAGACGTCAGAGAAAATATGACAGCAAAATAACTTGTTAGGAAGACACACAGAAGTGGCATGTATTCCTAAAGGGGTGTGGAGCATGGGGTCTGGAACAATGTGGTGAAAACTTTGGAGACTGTTTTATGAATTTAGAAGATAGGCAGTTTAGTCCAGATTTAGATA